TCCTCCTCCCCAGGTCCTCCTCCTCAGGTCTTCCTCCCCAGGTCCTCCTCCCCAGATCCTCCTCCTCAGGTCTTCCTCCCCAGGTCCTCCTCCCCAGATCCTCCTCCCCTGGTCCTCCTGGTCATCCTCCTGCCCTCCTTGCCCTGCTTCTCCATTGTGTGGTGGGCTGGGTGGTCAGCAGCAGGATGGGGAGCGAAGAGACCCCTCTTCCTGCAGGCTGTGTTGCTGGCTGAAGGAGGGAGGAGATGGGCATGCTCAGAGCATCTGGAGGCTCACACGTAGGAGCGGGGAGAAACCCCCATGCCTAGGGAGCTCCCAGTCTGAGGGGGGAGACACAGCTGCTACCCCGAGGAAGTGTCCAATCTGAGGGGGAGACACAGTCTCCCTCTCCGGAGCCTGGACACACCTGCCCCTAGGGGAAATCTCTCAGGAGCATTAAAGGACCGGTACAAGAGTGGGAATTAATAGGGTGCAAGCTGCCTCGCAGGGCTTGGAGAGAGAAGAGCAGAGTGGGCAGGAGGGGCGAGGGAGGAGGTCGGGCTGGAGGGTGGCGTCTGGAAGGTTTCTAGGAGCCTGGAGCCCCCTGTGTCTCTGACTTCCTGCTTCCCCAGCCCTTCAGGACCCCTCAGCCAGTCTGCAGGGCAAAGTGGGGACGGGTTGTAAGCCCCAGGCCTAAAGGACAGAGCTGCCGTCCTCTCACCCTCCCCCATTCGTCTCCCAGGCCAAGGAAGGGGGAAGGGGGTGTGCAAGAGGGAGGGGAGGAGGAGGAGGGAGGGGAGGAGGAGGAGGGAGGGGAGGAGGAGGAGGGAGAGGAAGAGGTTGGTCTGGTTGGGCTGGAGTCTTCCAGCCCGTGGGAAGCAGCAAGATTTCCCGCAGGTGACTTGCTGAGACCTGCGTTTCCCTTCCCAGACTTCTTCCGTACCCATTCCCGTAGTTCCCAGTCCTTTTTGCCTCCCTCGCCCTGTCCTCCTGCCCTGGGCCTCATCTGGGGCATTTGGGCCTCTGGGTCCTTTTTTGGGGAAGGGGCCCCGGGCAGCTGATGTGGCTCTGCCTGGAAAGAGGGAGTGTCCCCTGGGTGTCTGTATCACATGTCTTAGGTCCACCCAGGTCAATAGTTCCTGGGAACCAGGAGGTGGCTAAATGGGGCAGAGGGAGAGAAAGGCTGAGTCTGCCTGTCCCTGGGAAGAGGAGCCCTTGGCTGGAGTGAGCAGGGGCTCTGGGGGGACCCCCTTACCCTGTCTTTCCACATCGGGAGGAGGGAGGCGGAGGCGGAGCCTCTTTGAAGCCAGACACAAACCATTAGTGGGTGGAGCTGGGCGGGGCTGCCAGGGCCTCAGGACAGAGGCGGAAACAGCAGAGTGAGAGAGGATTCCACCTGGGGGGGGGTGGGCAGGTGCGGCCTGGAAAAGGTGCATTTCTGAGGGGATACCTGGCCAGGGAGGGGCAGGGACGCCTATCCTATCCCATCCCGTTCAAGGTCTCAGTGTCGCAATGTCTGTGGGGTGAATGGAAGGGAGCTGATGGGCCCCAGTGGCAGGGGCCTGGGGTGAGGGTCTTCAGGGTACTCTCCTCATCAGGTGTGCCAGGGTCCCAGCTGGAGCCCACCTGGGGCTCCTCGGCCTCTCACTTCCCCTGACCACCTGAGACTGGCCCTTTCCCTTGGGTAGGTGGCCATGTTCCCTTCCTGGGACCCCGTGTCCACCCCAGCCACCACCCAGTCTCCATGACCCTAACAACTCAACAAGCTCTCACAGAGCACCCGCTGCATCCGAGCCCCTCCTAGAGGTTGACAATGCTTGGGGCACCCGTAGGAGCCACGGTCAGCTGGGCAGACATGGCATGATCTTTGTCAACATCAATATGCACCTGCTGAACATCAGCTGTATACTAGGCCTGAGATCATTCTGTAACCCCTGCCTTCCGTCCACATGACAGGGGTGGGTACCACGGAACGCCTCCCCCAGCACCCTGGTCCTGCTCATATCTGAGGCAGGGGCTGTCGTGCTGCACTCCGGAGCTGGCTGGCTTTTCAGCAGTCTCTGGACAGGAGACTGAGGGCCTGAGGGGAGTCCAGCCTGGGGTTGGCACGCAGGGCATGGGGCAGGTGTCGTGTTCTCCCAGCCACTCCTGCTCTTGCCTCCCTGTCTCCCACTGTGCTGACTCCAGCAGCCTCTGGGGCTGGAGTGAAGGAGCCATTTGGATCTCTTCCTCTTTTCCCTTCTTGTCTTCCACACGGGCCAACCTGCTGACAGCTGCGGGGGCTGTGGGCCCGGCACTGCCCCTCAGGTCTGCCAAGGGCCTCTGCCCGCCAGGGGCGGAGGACAGGCCCAGGCAGGAGGTGTCACGGCCCAGAGGACCTCTGTGCAGCCCTTCCTCCCCAAGCAGGGAGAGTGGGAGCTGCAGGAGGCGCTGGCCTCAGGCCCGGCTCTGACGCTGAGGCTGGGACGTCCTGACTGCCCGCCGCTCCAGTGCCCTGTGCCTCAGTGTCCGTACAACGCCGTGAGGATCTGAGGAGGAATGTCCAGGGCTTCTTAGCCCTGGCCAGGGAAGGCCATACACTCCAGAGGACCAGGGCGGCCTTCCTGGGGTCCTACTTCTGTCTCCGTCTGTGGTCTAACTTTGCCTCCATCTGGGGACAGGAGGCTGAGCCAGCTTGTGCTTCAGTGTACGAGGCGTTCAGGGTCAGAGTGACTGAGGGGGCTTCACAGGCAGTAGAGTCTCCAAAGAGCAGAGGCAAAGAGGCCTGGAAGCCACTGGCATGGGGAAACTGAGGCCCAGAGAGGAAGAGGAGCAGACCCATGGCAGGAAGCCTGGTGTCGGGGTGAGGGACTTTGTGGGGGCCACGTGGTGGTAGTGGGGAGATGAGGCCTTGGTGGTTCTGGAGGGAGGAAGGGAGGTTAATAAACTCTCTGCCCATTCAAACTGGGCTTCAGGACTAAAGTCTGGGGGCTTTGGAAGTGGGGCTCCCAGGCAGGGTGAGGCTGGGGTGTGGGTTCCAGAGAGAGGCGCTGAAGGGTGGGCAGCATTCCTGGCCTGGCCCCCTCCTCAGACCCCTGGCTCAAGGCAGGGGAGTCCCTTCTCTGGGCCCGGAGAGGCCTGGCTGCGGGGAGGATGAGGGGGGTAAGTCAGTCGGCTCGAGGTCGGGGGAAGAGGGGTTCTTAGGAGGGTGGCTGTGGCAGGGGCTGGGGAGGGGTCTACACTGTATGTCCTTCTGTGTGAGGGTGACTGGCTGGTGCAGGGCCCTGGCACACTTGGGTGAACCCATGTTCCGCTGTGTCCCTCTCCTCCATCAAGACAGTCCTGCATTGCCAACAAGTCCGTCCTAATGTTTAACCTTGTGGTGGGCTGACCTTGCTCCTAGCCTTAGCCTTGGCTTTGAGCCTTCCCCCCGAGCACCCTCCTAGGCTCCTGGGAGACCACCCACTTTCTAAGTGGGAAGTCCATCCAGCAATCTAGCCTCATCTTAGGAGCTTGGGGCCACAGGGAAAACGCGACTCACTCCCTGTCCCCGGGCGTGGGCAGAGATCCCAGGCCACCTGTGCTTCTCCCGCCTGTGGGCCAGGCTCTCCCTCCTCTGGCCCATCCCTTGGGCCTGGCTGCCCCGGGAGGCTTCACATTCAGACAGGCTGGTGCAGACATCAGTGTCCTGGCAGCGCCTAAATCATTAGCGCCGCGGAGATGAGGCTGGTAATCTCCTTGTTGGGTGGAGCAGGTGCCAGCCTCCGGGATGTGCTGTCACTGCTCCTTTGCAGGGGCCCGACTTCAGGGCACGGCATGACTGAGGGCCTCCTGGCACAGATCGTGCTTCTCTGTGGCCTTCTCCCTCCCTTCGTGCTGCCTCTGGGAGCCCCTCTGCACTGACTTTCCTCAGGTGCTGGGAGAGTGCACAGGGAGTCGCTCCAACCCGCTGGCCTCAAGCCCCTCCTCACCCCACCCCTTCTTCCTGTCAGAGCTTGACTGATGTCCCTGTCTCCCCAGATTCCCTCAAAGACCTTGGGAGACAGAATTATCCCCATTTTACAGGTGAGAAAACCGAGGCTCTCGAATTGACTTCCTGAAAGACTTAGATCCGAAGCTCCTCAGGGCAGCAGCAGCATCGGCTCCCCCTAGAAACAGAAATCGCCCAGGCCAGGGGCCATGTCCCCTCTGGCAGACTTGGAATAATCCCAAGAGAGCTGGGGGCTCCCTTAGGACAGAGGCTAATTCTCCCCCCTCAGACCTGGGGGAGGATGTCAGGCCCCAAATTTCTCCACCCTCTCCCTGGGGCCCTGGAACGCTGGGTGGGGGGCCAGGCCAGCCTCTGGGCACTGGGCCTGTGGAGCCTTGTTTGTGCCCTTTCTGGCTGTCAGGGCTGGTTCTCCGGACTCCCCCCAAGAATGAGCTCAGCAGCCTAATTGCGGCTGAGGATGGAGGATCACCCTACCCTGGGGCTGCAGTTCCAACGCCACCTTTGTTTCTGAGCAGACAATGGACCGCTCAGAGGCCACTGTGCCCAGGCTGGGCTTGCACGGGAGGGGCCCTGGGGATGCACTCAGCATGTCCAGCCCGGGCCCCAGGCCCTGGGTGGCTGGTGCAGAGGCAAATTACATGATGGGGGTTTTGGCTCGGACTTCAAGGGCCAGGGGCCCGGCCCCCCTTCAGTCTGGCTATAAAGACTGCCCAGGGTCTCCATCCAGACCAGACCCTGTGCCTGACCTGTGGACGCCATGGCTGCCACCACCACCAGCATCCGCCAGTTCTCAACCTCCGGCTCCGTCAAGGGCCTGGGTGTGCCTGGCGGGGGTTTCTCCCGGATGTCCTCCATCCGGGTTGGGGGAGCCTGCCGGGCCCCCAGCCTCCTGGGAGCCGGTAGCTGTGGCAACATGTCGGTCACCTCATCCCGCTTCTCGGCAGGTTTGGGAGGAGGCTATGGCAGTGGCTACACCTGCAACCTGGGTGGGGGCTTTGGGGCCAGCGTTGGTGTGGCAGATGCCCTGCTGGGGGGCAGTGAGAAGGAGACCATGCAGAACCTCAACGACCGCCTGGCCTCCTACCTGGACAAGGTGCGCGCCCTGGAGGAGGCCAACACTGACCTGGAGGTGAAGATCCGTGAGTGGTACAAGAAGCAGGGCCCTGGGCCCGCCCGTGACTACAGCCAGTACTTCAAGACCATCGAGGACCTGCGGAGCAAGGTGAGGCTCCCTGCCCTCTGCCCTTAGTAACTGCTTCTGACTCGCCCCATCTCAACCTTTGACCTTTGCAACCAATTCCCCGCAATTCTAGACCTCCATCATGCATGCATTCACTCACTCACCCACCCACTCACTTGCTGTGGACCTGGCTCTGTATGAGTCTCTGGTCCCGTGTCTGGAGAACATCCTGTGCTGTGAGGTTTCTGGAAGCTCCCCAGGTGGACAGAGGAGAACCCCTCCCTTCTTGAGGGGAGCATATTTGGGGCGGGTGGAGGAGGAGTGGTCAGGGCAGGAGTCAGTACCTTGAAGGCAGAGATGGTATTCCAGACGTAGGGAACAGTATGGGCAAGGGCATCGAGGTGGGGAGTGTTTGGCATGACTGCTGGAAGGTGAGGCTGGGTATCTCCTTCTTGCTGTTCCGTTCTCCTCTGGGGCTGCCCTCCTACCTGCCTCCCTCGTTCAGGCTGTCCTCCTGGGTGGATGACATTTTCCTTCTCTCCCCAGATCTTGGGGTCTCTTCAGCACTTTGAGGTTCAGTCTATGCCCTGTTCATTGTGCTGATTTCACTAAGTCCAGCATGTTCTCATTGACTGCTTTTGTTGTGGGTCTTCCTCACTCCCTCCAAGATGGCCATTCTGGGGTTCCCTGAGGGCAGCGGCGAGTCTCTCTCTGCAGATTGGTGGGGTATCCCTGAGGTCAGGAGCTGTGTTTTCCTACTCAGACTGAAAGCTCCCAAGGGAAGGAATTTCTCTAAGTTAGTCTGATGGAGACAACACACACATACACACACTTACACACTCCCATGACCTCTAGGAATGTGGCCTTGGCATTCTGTGAACATGGCCATGCACATGGCCGTGGGTCTTCTGCACAGACCCTGCCCCTGAGAGGGTCCTGGGATGCTGAAGATGCCAGAGGCAGGTGAGGGGTTAAAGAGATGGGGCCTGGCTGGTCCCCGGCAGTTAGGCCTGCCCAGTTCCTGGGTGGAGAGCTGGGCCTGGTGCTTCCCTGTGACGGCCTTTGACTGCTCCTGCCCAGGACGTCCATCAGGTAGAGAATTCCTGCAATTTCCTCCTGGAAGCAGAGCTACTGGCAGTGCCAGATCAGATACTGAGCTTGGTCTGGGCAGTGGGAAACCCCGGGGAGCCTTGGTGAGTCAGTGCTCCTGAGCTTTGGGGTTACCCAGCACCTCCCCACCTACCCCCAGTGTACTGTGTATCAGGCCTCTGAGTCACCCTGCCCACCTCCAGCTCCTCTGAGTCACCCTGCCCCCCCCCCCCGGGCATTCACAGCTCACCCTCGCTGTGCCCGGTCAACCTCCAGAGCAAGGAGGGGGATGGGGGCTGGTCTCTGCAGGCTACAGATGGGCCCACTGAGGCTCAGAGCAGATAACAAACCGGCAGGGAACAAACAGGCTTCAGCCTGGCCCAGGGCCACTTCACTGAACTTAGGGGTCTCAGAGGGGTGCTGCCCCACTCTCGATGCACAGGACGAGCCTGCTGGGGCTGCTTTTGACTGCTGCCGGGGCTTTTCCCTTATGTTCTCTACGCTTCAGCCCTCCCCAGCTCATGTCCCACCTCCACCAACCTCTTCTCTCTGCTCCGTTTGTATGGTGTGGAGGGCCTTGATTGGAGCCTCTCTTGGGCATTTCCTACGGTAACCATGACGGCAGCGTGATCATAACCAAGCCTCTGCTCCTTCCAGAGCATCTCCTTTTCATGTGCTCATTTAAACCTCCCAGATGGCCTTGTGCGAAAAGAAAGCTTTGCCCTAGGTTTGAGGTGGGGCCAGTCATAACCTCATTAATTAATTAATTAATCACTTCATTAAACAAATGTACCCTTGGGGCCAGCTCTGGACCAGGCACTGTGCCCAGGGCTGAGGATTCCAAAGAGAACAAGACAGATAAGTTCTTGTCCCCCTGGAGCTCAGAGTTCAGTAGAGGAGGAAATCATTTAAAAAGTCATGGAAAGAGGTATAAAACCCAGAGAAGTGCTATGAAACGGAGATGGTCAGGGAAGAGGTATGGCAGGGAGAGGGGGCCCAGACAGGGTATCCAGGAGGGCTTCCTGGAGGAGGTGACAACTGAGCCTAGAGGTGAATTTCACTGGGGAAGAGGAAGTGAGGCCCAGGCAGTTTAGTCAATGACCCCATGGTGGGAGTGGGGTGCACAGGGGTCTCTCTCTGGGCATCCATGTTTGCCCATGCCTGGGCATCATGCCCCCACTAGTCTGTGAGCACTCCAAGAGCCTTAGCTGGGCCCCTGGAATTCCCAGCAGGGCGCTCAGACAGGGATCCTCACTGCCCTCATCTGGCCCACTCCCCAAAAGGCTGCAAGAAGGGTGTTGCAGGTCCTCCCTGGGGCTGCTGGGGAGGGGCAGGGTGTTCAGTGGGCCCATTGTCTCTCCCAGATCTTGGCAGCTACCATCGACAATGCCAGCTTTGTGCTGCAGATCGACAACGCCCGCCTGGCAGCTGACGACTTCCGCACCAAGTGAGTCTGGGTCCCCGGGGGCTGCCTGGGGGCTGGTGGGAGGTCTGTGGCTCTGCACACCACAGACTACTCTGTGTGTGTACAAGGGGGTGTCCTTGTGGCACTCCACGGCTCACACCTCCAACCGTCCCAGGTACGAGACGGAGCTGAACCTGCGCATGAGTGTGGAGGCCGACATCAACGGGCTGCGCAGGGTGCTGGACGAGCTGACCCTGGCCAGGGCCGACCTGGAGATGCAGATCGAGAACCTGAAGGAGGAGCTGGCCTACATGAGGAAGAACCACGAGGAGGTGAGGCCTGCTCAGGGAACTCAGGAGAACCTCGCCTGGGAGCAAGCAAGCCTGGGGCCCCAGAATCTCCGGGGGCTGTGGCTATGCTCTCTGTCTGGCTCCTGTCTCTGGTGGGCTCCTGGCCCTAACCCTGGCCCTGATTCTGACCCTCAGAGGGCCCTGAGTAAGGCCTGGGGGGGCCCCTCCTTCTAAAGATTCTTCCCTTGTTCCTGAGGCTCAGTGCACTGCGAGGGGTGGTTAAGTAACTAATGAATGAATCTATGTGAGAACACACAATGCTAATTGTTGTAATTAATTATAATAGTGATAGTCATAACAACAAGGAACATGTGCCCAGCACATTACAGGTGATTCACAGCAATAATCTCAGCTGATGCTGGCAACATCGCTGAAAGAAAGATACTCTCAATGAAGAAGTTGAGGCTCAGAGAGGTTAAGGCATTTACCCAAGGCTGCACAGGGACCTTCCCTCAGGTCTGTCTGACTTATGTCCACATCCAGGTCTGACTCCACCTCTCTGCTACCTCTCCTGCCTTCCTTTTCCGGAGAGCTCTGTACCTTAGTGACCCTAAGCCTCAATCCAAGGCTCAATCCAAGGCCCTACCAGGGGACTCAGGAGGCCGCATATTCCCCTGTGCTTGTGGCTTCCCTCTCAGCTGAACTCTGGGCTGGCCTGAGCCGAGGGATTCTATCCCTCAATAGCAGGATGCCCCGAAAGTGTTCCCCTTGGCTTTGAGGCTGGTTATGCAGTTGCTTCCCCTCACAGATGAACATTTCCTAATGAGGCCTGGCTCTGGCTGGTACCAACATCAGGCTGCTTTCCCCAAGCTGTGCCGCGGGGCTGGTGGGGGGACCAGGCAGGTGGCCAGGGTGGCGAGAAGGTGGCCTTTGCTCACTCCCCGCCGTGTTGGGGAGTGTTCATCTCTCTCCTGCTTCCGCACACGCTGGGGATGTGTGTGTTGGGGGAGACTGTTGATATCCACAGCCCTGTATATTTCAGCAACGTCTGCCTCTGCCTTCAGGGTGAGGAACTGTCAGCCTGTGTCTGTCATCGGCACCTGTCTCCCAAAGTAGACAGGCAGGCCCCAGGGTGGCCCTGGGTGAGCTCCTGCTGTCCTCTTTGCCCAGGAAATGAACGCCCTCCGAGGCCAGGTGGGAGGGGACGTCAGCGTGGAGATGGACGCCGCCCCCGGCGTGGACCTGAGCCGCATCCTGAACGAGATGCGTGACCAGTACGAGAAGTTGGCAGAGAAGAACCGCAAGGACGCCGAGGACTGGTTCTTCAGCAAGGTGGGTGGCCTGGTGGGAGTGGGCATGCACACATGTGGGCACACGTGCTGCGTGCCTGGGAGTGCTCCCAGATCCACAGACTGTCCCGGTGGGAAGGACAGACATCTGGGAAGCAATTGGATCAGCCCCGTATACTTTAGATGTAGAATGTGAGGCTTGAGAGGTCTGGAGCTCACGCCACCCTCCCCTGTGGCCTGGGGACAGGTGCAGGTCTCTACAACCCCTGTCTAGGGCTTCTCCCTCCGTAGGTGTTTGTACGATGTGCGTATGTGGATACGTAACCCATGCCCTTGCACTATTGAGCATCTACAGTGTCCCAGCGACAGTAACAGGCACAAAAGAATAAAACGCAGTGCTGGCCTTTGAGGGGTTGCTGCTGAGCAGGAGTAACCACTGCAAATGACCGCAGAGCAAGGTCAATTCTGCTCAGATCCAACGTGGGCACCTGTGAGCAGGGGCTTTTGGGGCCCCACAGAGGCTGGGGAGGGGCTGGTGGGTAATTCTGGGGGTAAGGGCTCAGGGGCAGCCTCTGTCCTCTGCCTCATCTGGAAGCGTCTTTAAGCCCCTGTGGCCCACCCTGCCTTCCAGACGGAGGAGCTGAACCGCGAGGTGGCCACCAACACCGAGGCCCTGCAGAGCAGCAGGACAGAGATCACAGAGCTCCGCCGCTCTGTGCAGAACCTGGAGATCGAGTTGCAGTCCCAGCTCAGCATGGTAGGGCCTCTACCCCCTTCCTGCCCTGGACCCACCTCCCTGGGGTGGACCCAGCCTCGTAGATCCCCCACTGGGGGAACCAGAGGCTCCCCACCCAGCCTGTCTCTTCACACTGTGACATGGTCCCCCCTGACCCAGGTACTGCCCCACTGTGCTGGCAGCACCCACAACCCCCAAAGGCCCTCTCTGGGTGCTCCACCATGGGGAAGGGTCCCAGCTCAGTCTCACCTATCCCTTGACCCACAGAAAGCGTCGCTGGAGGGCAGCCTGGCCGAGACAGAGGCGCGCTATGGGGCCCAGCTGGCCCAGCTGCAGGGGCTCATCAGCAGCATTGAGCAGCAGCTGTGCGAGCTCCGCTGTGACATGGAGCGCCAGAACCACGAGTACCAGGTGCTGCTGGACGTGAAGACGCGGCTGGAGCAGGAGATCGCCACCTACCGCCGCCTGCTGGAGGGCGAGGATGCCCAGTGAGTGGGGGCGCCTGGGCATCTACTCTTTCTGGTGGGCTGGGGTCACCTGGTTTGAGCACCAGCAAAGGCCAGGAGGTGTGAATGGAAGAACCTGGGAGGTTTTCAGGAGGCGAAATTGAAAATGCCGCTGGGGTCTGACTGTGAGGAGCCTCAAATGCCAAGTTAAAGCATCTGGACTAGATCAGGTTGGCAATGGGGAGCCATGGAAGGATCTGGAGCAGAGAAGCGGTATGTTCATAAAGATGTTTTAGAACATTCAGTCTGGCTGCAGGGGGAGACGTGGATCAGTGGGGTCAGGGTGGCGCTGGAGGGACCTGTCAGGAGGCTGAAGCAGGAAGTCAGGCAGAGAAGTCGTGTAGTGGCAGAGGGCAGGGAAATGAAGGCGCTGTGTACAGAAGAGAGGCTAGAGCTAAAAACAGCAGGGGTGGATGCCTGAACGTGGGGTGAGTGTGGCTCACAGTCAGGACTCAGTAAGTGTTGAGTGAACACATGAAGGAGTGGGTGACAATGACCCTCGGTTCCGTTTGGATGACTGTGGTTGGCATGTCATTACCCAGGATGGGCCAAGGAGCAGCGTGAGTGGTAATCTGGTTTGGAGTTGGGTGGTTAATTGGGGGCCCAGCGTGAGGGGCTGAGAGTGTCCTGGAGTCTCCGTGCTGAGTCACCCATTCAGGCTTTTTGCTCCCTGACAACGGTGAAGTCCATTTATAGTCTAACCACAGTCTCTCCTGCTTTAATTGAGTCTGTTTGTTGGGCCCTTCGGGATATGGAAAAACCACTTGCTCAGCTCCTCCTTATAAGTCCCTAGTTAGTAGCCACAAAGTGCTGCTTGGCCTTCAGTCGGGTTGTCCCCTTTTCTTCTTCCTGCCACACTGAGCCTGTGCCCTTTGATTCTTGGGCCTGTGCTGTTTGTTTCCGTGCACTCCCAGCTGTGATTTCCTGCCAGTTTGTGGGACCCCCTCTCCCCTCTGTCCAGACTTCCCCACCTGCCGCTCTCCCCCAGCCGTGCTCCCAGTGGGCCAGCTGGCCAGCATCCCTGGGCTGATGGTTCCCCCTCTCCCCGCAGCCTGGCCACTCAGTACTCCTCGTCCCTGTCTTCACAGCCCACCCGGGAAGGTAAGAGCCTGCTTTGTCCTGCCCCAGGGAGGGGCTGCGTGGATCCAGAGGGAAGGGGTGTGGGGAGAGGCTCCTGCCTGAGGTTCCCTGCATCCCCCTCCTCCACTGCCTGCAGCTGTGGTGACCAGCCGCCAGGTGCGCACCATCGTGGAGGAAGTCAAGGATGGCAAGGTGGTCTCCACCCGCGAGCAGGTCCACCGTTCCACCCACTGAGGCCCCTTTCTGCATGTGACAGCCCAGCCTCAAGGGCCAAGGGGCAGCCATTGCCTCCAGCACCCAGCATGCTACTGCCATGCCCTGAGTGCCCATCTGGGCCAGTGCCCACAAGCTGTTGCCTTTCTGTATCTGCTGCCTGCAGCCCCTCACTGGGGGGCCTCCTTGGTTTGCCCCAGTGACTGCTATTAAAGCTTTGCCTGAAGTTCAATGCCTCATGTGACCTGGTCTTGTCATTGGCAGTATAGGCTGAGGGTCTGGGGGAGGAGGAGAGTTTTTTGAGCATTTGGGTATTGGCTCATCACCTGCCAACCTGTTCTGCCCACTCCATCCAGGCCTGGGGCTCCCGGGGGAATGGGAGGGGAGGAGGTGGAAGGATTGAGGGTGGAAGAATGAGAAAGTTTCTAAGAATTAGCCCCCGGGTCCGTGTCACCTGTGGCTCACTCCCGGGAGGGCCTCGCAGACTTTCCGGGGACCATGACAGGTATAGAGTACATGCTGCCTCGGCCCAGGGTGGGTTCGAGAGCAGAGGAAGAGGGGCTGGGTAGGAGGCCTTTGGAAGGAGTGGGCCACGGTGTTGGTGGATGAGAGGGGTGGCAGTGGCCCAGCCAGCCCAGGAAACCAGACCGGCTCTGCCCAGCTCTGGGGTGTGTGTGGGGCGGGGTAGCCACCGTGTCTGTGAGCGTGGGGGGCGTCCTGTTTTCTTTGGTGGCTTGGCAGCTGCCGGGCTATTGAGGAATCTCTCTCCGCTGCTGGTGGGGCTGTCTGGGGCTGTCTGGGCCTGTTGGGGAAGTGGAAGCCATTGGCAGTCTGAAACACGACCACATTCCACCCAGCAGGTTTGCCGGGACCCTGGGACCCAGGGCTGGTCTAGAGGTGGTGGGCAGGGCAGGGTAGGGCAGTCGGGCGGGGCACATGGCCCACCCTGAGGAGCCACAGCTCAGTGAGCCTAGGGTGGAAGGGGTTGGCTGGGGGTCTCAGTAAGAGCCTCTTCTTGGGCAAGTCCTTTAGGTTCGCAGCTGGATGGCACCTGACATATATGCCCTTCACCTTACCCTGAGGTCTCCTGGGGGACAGAAGGGGTGAGGAGGGTGGGAGGGGGCATGTCCCTCACATTTCCTTCAGATCCTCTCTTAGCACAACACGCCCCCCACAACCTGCCATTTCTCCATCCTACAGCTAAGTTCCTCTTTGCCCACCCCAGCCCAGGACTGCCCCCTACACCTGCTGGAGATGGGGAAAGGTTTAGAAGAGGAAGCCAGGCTACCAAGGCATTGTAAGCATGGGGAAGGGTCAGAAAGCTAACCAGATGGAACAGTAGCCCCTGGAGTGCATCCCTGGGGGTCAGGGCCCTGCAGGAGCGGGCCAGTGAGGTGGGGTCCCTGGGGGCGGGGGGTGGGCACTGTGTCACAGCGAGGAGAAAGGAGGTAGCCCTGCCAGCACAGTTCTGGAGCTGGGGTCGGGACAGTATGACGCTGCATCCTCTCTAAGCCTTAGTTTCCTTATCTGTGACATGGGTTGGTAATCTGAGGCTTGATGGAGTTCCCATGGTTTGAGGTGGGCCTGGTGGGTTTGGATCCAGTTTCCAAGGCAGGACGGGCTCTCAGTCCTTTCTGTGTCCTCAGCATCCAGCCCTGGGCCAGCGCCGGGTGTGGCAAAGGAAAGCAACCTCAGGTGGGAGCTGCTTGACTCCCCAACCTGTTTGTTTTCCCAGCAGACACAGGGTGCAGGGGGGCCAGGCTGGGGTGGCAGCTGCCTGGGAGGGCCTGGTGACGGTGACGTCCTGCCTTCTCTTCTCCGTATTAGGTCATGGGAAAGCGTAGCTGGAGGGCCTGCCTGAATCACAGGCGACGGCCTGAGATCAGAGACATGCACACGCACACGCAGAGCTCAGCACAGGGTTTGGAGAAGTGAGGCAAAGCCCTGATGATGGGAGGAGAGGGGGCCCACAGCCACCTGGGAGCTGGCAGGTGGCCAGTGGTGATGAAAGCCCAGGGGAATGGAAACAGAGGAGTGAGCCTGTTGTAATCGCTACACCCACTTGCCATGGGACTATAAAGGAAGCAGGCGAGCCCTGGCAGCAGCACGCACTGGGGACTCTCTTTTTAAGCCCTCTTGCTCTGAGCCTGCAGCCCACTGTTGCCACCATGACCACCACCATCCGCCAGTTCACCTCCTCCAGCTCCATCAAGGGCTCCTCTGGCCTGGGAGGCGGCTTGTCCCGCACCTCCTGCCGGCTGTCTGGAAGCCTGGGCACCGGCTCCTGCAGGCTGGGGTCTGCCAGTGGCCTGGGGGCTGCCCTTGGGGGCAGCAGCTATTCCAGCTGCTACAGCTTTGGCTCTGGTGGTGGCTATGGCAGCAGCTTTGGGGGGGTTGAGGGGCTGCTGGCCGGAGGTGAGAAGGCCACCATGCAGAACCTCAACGACCGCCTGGCTTCCTACCTGGACAAGGTGCGTGCCCTGGAGGAGGCCAACACTGAGCTGGAGGTGAAGATCCGTGACTGGTACCAGAAGCAGGCCCCGGGGCCCGCCCGTGACTACAGCCACTACCACAAGGTCGTTGAGGACCTGCAGAACAAGGTAGAGCCTGCTGGTGGGAGTGGGCTTGGGGGCATGGCTTCTCCTCCCCCATCTCCTGCCCTTGATGCAGGCCTCGAGCCCAGCCTGGGGCTGCCACGGGCCCGGGAACCAAGTGCAGCTTGGCTCTGGCTTGGCTTCTGGGACCCCACCTTGGGGCCCCTATGTGGCCCATGTCTGCCTTTTCTGGGGGTAGCAGTCTGGGCCAGGGACAAGCAGCCTCGTGCAGGGAAGCAGTGTAGTACTGGAGGAGGAGCCTCAGTTTCCTCACCATGGAGCTTCTTGCTACCTCATGTGGTTGTAGGATAAGGCGAGAGGGTGTGTGTGGAGAGCTGGACCCCTGGGGCAGCAGGGGCACCTGGAGGGGGTCTGGGGGTGATGGTGGGGTGGGGCTCTGGGTGAGCTCCGGATGGCAGGCACCTGCTTTGAGGGTGTGGCAGGAGGGAGGGGGCGGGACCTCAGAGTGAGGAAGGCCTTATTTGGGGATTTTTCTGGCTTCCCCGTCCCTCCTGCTGTCCCTTAAGACTGGGGCTCAGAAAACCTGCCTGCTGGAGCCTGGGGTTAGGGCTTAGCAGGGGTCATGACTTCTGATTTGGGGGAGCCTCTCCGGGGCATCATCTTGCCAACTGTAAAACAAAGGGTTGCCTACATCAGCTGCTCCCTTCTGGAATTCTGGGACAGCTTCTGCCTTGGGGGGCACTCTCCCATTCTTCTCTGGCTCCCCCGTACTCTCAGCTGCTGCCTCCTCTGCTTTAAGGCTGAGCCCAGCATGGGGGTCTGCGTGGGGGGAGGCAGGTGCTGGTGGGGAGGGGAGACAGGTTTCAGCTGGTCACTCTCCTGCTTGCCCTGCCTCTGCCAACAATGCAGCGCAGAGCAGGGGCCAGGCTGGGGGGGAGGGGTTGGATCCCAGAGAAGGCCGTACATCCTGTCTCCCAGGCAGCGAGGCCATCTCAGACCCCCAACCTAATGACCTGATCACTGTGCCATCTCCCCAGATCCTCACGGCTACCGTGGACAATGCCAACATCCTGCTGCAGATCGACAATGCCCGGCTGGCCGCTGATGACTTCCGCACCAAGTGAGTCCTGCTGGTGAGCTTGGGCAAGCTGGGCAGGTTAAGGAGGTGCTGGGGGCACCCTCCCCACCCTGAGACCAGGTTGCTTGTGGCCAGGCCTAGGAAGTGGGGGTCAGGCAGTCCCAGGTGCTGCTAAGAGCCCACCCGTTGGTCCAGGATACAGCCAATACAGCAAATTCTGGAGGTCACTGGGCTTGGACAGGAGACACAAGAGAGGGAGGGGAGGCAGGAGGCAGAGAGGAGAGAAGTGAGGTGGCCGGGTGGGTGGGGGTCTTGCCTTATGATGATCCCAGGGCCCCAGGGCTAGAATTGCTTCCACCTCCCGGCCCCCCACCCTGGCCCATCATCCTTCACAGGTCCTTAGAGCCCTGGAAAAGTGAAGCCAGATAAGGGTCCAGGGCCTGGGCCCATGAGTCCAGGTAGCCTGGACTGAAGTTTCTGGTTCCCATTGCAGGTTCGAGACAGAGCAGGCCCTGCGTGTGAGTGTGGAGGCCGACATCAACGGCCTGCGCAGGGTGCTGGACGAGCTGACCCTGGCCAGGGCCGACCTGGAGATGCAGATCGAGAACCTGAAGGAGGAGCTGGCCTACCTCCGGAAGAACCATGAGGAGGTGAGGTGGCTGGGGCAGCAGGTCAAAGAGGCCGAGGACTGGGTGGCAGGGCCCTGGGGCTGGGCCACGGCTGAGGCCATGGGAGTCAACAGAGCAAGCACACTGGGGTTAGTCACTTCACAGGGCTGCCCTGTCACCTGATCCCCTGGGGCCCAGAGCCAGCATGCAGAGCAGCCTCCTCTGGTACCAAAATGCTTCCCTGCAGTCAAGGAGCCTCCCAGGGGCCTGCAGAGGACTTCCCTACCTGTCCTGGCCTCCCTCATGAGGATGGAATAAGCGAAGAGGTCTCCTCCTTGGCCCAGTTCAAACCCTCAAGTCTGGACCCCACATAGAAGTTTGGAAATTAGGGGGGAAATAGTTTGGGGGGCACAGACTTAGGAATTAGATTTTATCTTTGGAGAGCAGTCAGTTAGTGGGGGAGACACAGTCTGATGGTGGAGGCAGGGCCCATACAGACCAGGTGAACAAAAATCATCAGGAGGGTCAGCGGGCAGAAGATAGGCAGAACGAAGCAGGGATCCTTGGGAGGAGTGGGGAGCCCCTTGTGGGGGAAGGCTTGGGAGTGAGGGGCCAGCACAGGCCCAGATGCCCACGTGTTACCTCTCGCTGTGTAACAGAGATGAGAAAAGGTGACTCAAAGCAACATGAATGCAGCGATGAGAGCCTGAAGGGGCCGCATCTCAGCAGCTCCTCTGTTAGAAGGAGAAACTAGGTAGCAACCCTGAGCTGGCTATTGCTTCAGTTTTTATTGAAAAAACAAGGAAATTACAGGAAAAGAGCAGATGGTTAATCAGTCATAGTAAGAACGTACAGAAATTGGCTTTGTAACAATCTTTATGTAAGGATGCATGGTTCAAAGTAGTTTAAACAATATACCATCAAAAGAGTCATAAATCTAAGCTAAATAACATGCAAGAGACACAATAAGACAGTCATGAAAGTG